TGCAGCTGTATAAACCAGTTGACTTCTTCATTTAATTGGAAAGCAATATACCAGCAGGAGTATTTTCATAGAGATATATATAAATATATATTATATGTGGATATATGTGTATGTTGACTAAATTTCATCATCTATTTATTAAAAGGTTTTTACGTATATCTTTGGTACCAAAAGGCCTTTTAAGTGTATGTTACCTTTAGGTAAGCCCAGGATTATTAGGTGTAAAAATAGAAATGTCCATTACTCAGCTTTAGGGACAAGCAAGTTTCGTATAATTTTCATGGATTCTGCTGACTTAATATTGCAGTTGAGCTGCTTGGTTTTCCCCCTGTAAGATATCCCCATCAAAAAGGGATTCTGGTCCCATTACTTACCCAAAATATATGGCCGTTGTGTAGATTCGACAATAAAATTCTCCGCCTTTTATCAATCACTGTTAAGAAAATTGGTATGTGAGGCAAGGGTACCACTACAAATTGCAATAATTTTGACAAACGTCAGTTTTCCAGTGCCATGATTTGCTGTGTTGAATATTAGAAAGAAAAAAGGGTGGGTTTTGCAAACATCTTTTTCTTTTTACGTTACCAAGCTTTTCTTACCATTAAAAGCTATAAATTTGAAAACTTTTGTTTTTCTACTGCTGCTCCTTTTTTCGAGACTGAAATGTGCCGTGCCACCCTCCAGTTCATGGTTTTCGTTTAGTGTGAATCCAGCTTGTAAGATCCTTTTCATCTGTACCAAAGCACATTAAAGCAATACACAGGCTCCCTGCCTTCCCTGCCAATATGTGTTCTCAATCTTCCAAACTGTAAACTGGATTGGTTGGATTAGACTAAGAAATCTAGATTAACATATTTTAAATAAAGTAAAACTTTCAAAATCAGATGGATTTCCTGAGAGTAAATTTTGAGTATTGAAATTATGACTTGCTTCTAAATGTCAGTACAGCATAAAGGTATCTTAACAGAGTAACTGTAGATCAATCTATTTGACAATTACTTCCTAATTTAATTTTTTGAACATCCCGTTCATCAAAATTGCTGTTTATGGAAAGAATTTGCAGCAAAATACATGTGAGCTCTTCTCTTTGCTTGTTTGGCTTTCAATAATTGTAAATCTATCCCAGACAATCGATTTTGTTGAATGATGACTTCTTTCCTTTAGTTTGTTTGCTTGGTATGCACTCTTTTACTGTGATCTGGCAACATTGACCTCGTGACAGTTGTAGTACAGCTCTCACCCCTCTGATCGCTGTTTGAATCTTGCCTTATTTGTTTCTCTTTCTATCCGTCCGAGTCTTTTGTTCTTCTGTAATAACTATGGCTAGTTATCATGCACTTCTCTTTTCTTTGAGGTCTGTCTGTTGTTCTCTTGTTAAGTCCTTGTTTTCTTTGACAGCAAAGAGCGTGTTAGTTGTCTTCAACCCTGTCGGGCTTACAATGTTGTTTTATTATATTAGTTCATATATTTTATAATGATTAAATAATATATTTTTATCTCTGATATATATAATATACATACATATATAATTATATATATCTATGTATATAAATATATGTATAGCTTAAAACTTGATGTTCGTCAATGTATTCACTATTGTTAAAATGGTAATTATAGGCATGTAACTTGTTCATAACTTGCAGAGATGGTTTAAAAATTTGAATGCATTTGTTGATTGTGAGTGAAGGTATTTGTTTGTTTGGGGAGAAACTCAAAGAAAATGTGGATGCCGACGTTTAGTTTTGTTTATCAAAGTTCAGACGAGAAATGTAAAACTTTTCAGGGAAATAGTTGAAAGACTACCTCTTTAATTGGAGTCACATCACTACGATGCTTATATTTCTCCAAAATTTTTGTTGGCAATGGTTTGAGATGAGCTTCTTAATACATTCAGTTCATTACACATATACTGATGAAGCTGGGCAGCTGGAGCCTCGTGTGAGAATACAAGTTTATGAGCTGATTAGAAACATGGTCTCTTTTTATCTTTTCTTTTTTTGGCGGACTTTTTTTTTAACTGTTTATTTTTCTTTTGTTTTTCTTATGGCTTGACTTTAAAAAGCCTTCAGCTTACCATTCCAGTACGTCCAAAAGCAAGACGGAGTGGTTTCTTACACAATACATACTTGATGCATGCGCACAATCTGCCGGGAATCAGGGCAAATAAAATCTAATCCTGCTCTTGGCTATCATGACTCCAGCAAAGTAAAAATGGGATAGAGTCTTCATAAATAAGAGCCTCTTTCCTGTGCAGACTTAGACTTGCAACATTCTTATCAAAGCGTTAAATGTGATATTTAAAACTTGTTTGTAAATCAGTATAGAATGTAACATAAATTTTACCAACTCTATTAGTGTTAAAACATATATTTTCTTAGATTTAGCATCATTATACTGATTGAGCGAACGAATCATTATTGGTCAAATATCTTTCCTCAAAGTTTATTTCATGCTGGACAACTTTTATCACAACCACCAAATCTCATCTCAGGAAAAAATGAACATCATTTCCATCATTTACATTAGAACTGTAAATCAGCTATTTCCCTGTATCCATACAGTGTAATAGAATTAGAATTTTATGAAATATTTAAAGTATTTTCTCCTAAAATGCTGGATACCTACATAAAATAGATTTATTGTAGAAAGTATACAACTTAGCAACTTTCTATACAAATGGGATAAATACCTCTGAAACATTGGAGATACCTTGGTAGATGTTTGAGCAAACACATTTGGCCGTGTGAGCTTTGCTCCAAGTAGAGTTTTAACAGGAGGAAGTGAAATAATCAAAAGTCTGTATTGTTTTAATTACCTTCCTTCAAATGACATAAGCTGATTCATGAAAAATGAATTAAATTGCTATCTGTATCATAAATTGTAAGTTCCTTTCCTTTAAAACTTGATTAAGTGTCAACAAAATGTGAATTCACATATTCTATGTAGCATTAGACTGCAAATCCAATAATATTTTGCACCAAAATGCAAAATATATGCTAGAGGAGATTCTTTCCATGAGCAGCTCGTTTTTCTCTTAAGCTTTATGTTTCATCCCAAGTGAGAAAATACTCGATAAATTATATGCCTCATGATGTTGATTGATTACAGTAACCCAGATATATAAATATGAGTAAGTTAAAAAAAACACACTGTGCTTGTCTTCAGTTATACATCTGTGTTTTTTCTCATTCTGTAGGTTCTCAAAATATAATATCAGTAATATGTATATGAGGAATCGTATCCTTTGTATATGTAAAAAACCTATACAGTTTTACTATTAAAATTCCATGTGTAAACCACCTGTAGAACGACACCTTTCATTTGCTTCCTCTTCATCTCCCACAACCACAATGCTAAGGATTTACGCTGTTGCGCTTTCCGTACTCTTTTCACACTAAAGCAGCTCAGGACTTTTCGACATTTAGTTTTGATGAAGCATTGTATCCCGCGCAGGCCTCCTTTTGGGCTGGCGAGACGATGGCGTGGCAGCGGGTGCTCATTACCTGGCCATGTTGTGTGCCGTGTTGTGTTGTCCAGTTTGGGCGGCCAGCGCAACGGCAGCACCCAGTCACGGAATCGAATTTTGTTTTTTTCCTGATTGTCGTGTGCCTGTGCATCGCGCATGTGTCAACCGGGGGAAGGCCAAGGGGGCAGGATGAGGGAACTCTATGGAGTCCGCCATACGTTCATATATCTCGAGGCAGCGGATGAGGCGCGCGCCGCACGCACGTACGCACGGCCGCACATACATACGTTTATTCAATCAATGAAAAGAACTCTCGCCACGTTCGGCGCAGGGTGGCTGACGTCGCCGGTGCGAGCGTGAACTTACAAGCACCACCGGGAATGCTTCCGGGAGTTGTAACCCGCCGGGTGCCGTGCGCCGTGCGCCGTGCGTGCGCTTCTCGTGCGCAGTGCGTCGCAGAGAGAGAGACCGAGAGGTCCTTCCCTGAGCCCGGCGGGGCGGGCCGGCCCGGGCCGCGCTCAGAGTGGTCGTTAGCTCGTGGGTGACATTGACAATGGAGCCGGGCCTGGCGGCTGGCCGGGCGGGGGCGGGACCGCGTCGGCGCCAGGGGGCGGGGACCCGCGCGGGCTCCGGGCGGCCGGGAGGTGCGCGTCGTCGCAGAGTGCCCGAGGCCCCGAGGCCCGCGCCGTTGATAAAAGGCTGGGCGGGCGCGGGTGGAGCGCCATTCGTCGCTCCTCACTCACTCCGACATGAAGACCCTCCTGACCCTCGCCGCCGCGCTGCTGGCCCTCTGCGGCCTGGCCTCCGCCGGGGTAAGCGACCCTTCTGACACCGCGCTGATTGGCGAACGAGTCAATCCGTTTGGACGAAAACCTGCATGGAGTGGGAGATCCGTGTGTTTACTGTTGGTAACCGTAAGAGAGGAAGCTAAGTGCGCGTGTGTTGTCTTGTGTAGGTCGAGCTGTCCGAGGACCAGAAGCAGCTCATGAAACAGCTCAGGTCCGCCTGCATGGCCGAGACCGGCGTCGATGAGGGTAAGACGAGGCACCGTTGAGGCCCAGGCTCTAAAGAACACTTAAAAAATAATATACAGGGTGGCCGCTCTGCCCCGTTGATTTAAAAAGGCAGACTAGCCCGCCCGCACCTACCTCTCCAGTCCCCTCCCACCTCCCCGCTCCGTCTGGCAGCGGGCTAGTCTACCTTTTCAAAACAGCGGGGCAGAGCGGCCACCCTGTAGATCAAATCGTTGCCCTTCCTTTTGTGATTTCTTGATTCTGTATTCATCTTGTGTGTTCATCCTCAGCCACCATCGATGCATGCAAGACTGGACAGTTTGCCGACGACCCGAAACTTAAGGTAACTGAAATTGCTTTCCAAGGCAATGTGACAGGTGTCTGGTAAACCCCTCATCTTCCGTGGTTCTACTGTACCGTATGCATGCGTGTGGGCGGGTTGCCTACTCACCAGGGGCCATGAGGCGCCAGGTCGGAGAGCAGCCGCCCTGCCCCAGTCCAGTCCACCTGGGTGCAGCGACGGTACAGCAATGCTACGGAAGCGAGCAGGTTTAATACAGCCACCTTGTGTGCTAGTACCTTCCGCGGTTGTCTCTGACGTGTTCTCCTGTCCACAGTGCTACCTCAAGTGCACCTACCAGCAGATGACCGTGGTGAGTACCGCGCTGCCGACCTCCGCTCTTCAGGTGCGTCTCTCGTTGCCTTCTAATCTCACTACTGTTGCTGTTTTGATGCAGATGGACGACGACGGCGTGGTTGACGCCGATATGTTGCTCACCATGCTGCCCGAGGAGATCCAGCCCAAGGCCGAGCCCGTCGTGAACGCGTGCAAGGAGATGCGTGAGTAGCCGTCGTGAGATACGTCGCGGTCGCGCTGGCAGCCTCGCTTCGGGGCGCTTGTGTTCAGAAACTCATGACTCCTTCGTCCTGCAGGTGGTGCCGACGCCTGCGACAACGCCATGATGTTCAACAAGTGCCTGTATGAGAAGGCCCCAGATGTAAGCACAACTTCTCTGCACCTAGAAAAACCTGTTCTTGATTCAAAAAAGCATACTTGAGGATTCACGTCCTGTAGGTTGTAACAGTTCAATGACACACACGTCCGCTAGTCTATCTGCGCTTTTCATTGATCAATTTACTTGACACAGGAATTTCCTTTACTGCGTGCACTGCCCGGTTCACTGAGGTTTGTTATTCTAACATTTGCGCATTTCTTCTTACAGTATTACATGGTCGTCTAAGGGGATGCAGGCCTACGTGATATGACAATTTCTGTTATTTTACCTGATATCTATGATATCTACATTAATTTGATCATGTTCAACTGCCTCTCAATAACAAATAAAAGATTATGAGTGATACGTTGATTGACATTTCCTCAATCCTCATAAAAGCAGCTGTAAGTAATCAGAAGAAATTCAGCAGAAGTCAAAGATGAACATTTATTTATTAAGTTAGAACAATTATAAAACTCAAACGAGGTTCCTTTTT